TGTGAACTATAACTCTGTTCAAACTCATTTATAATTCTTTCGGACTGTTAACATAGTAGAATCGACATTTGTCCAAAATTCTCTTGCTGTACCGATTCTCTCCCAGTGGAATACGGCGGAGAATTTCACACAGTTGCAAGAATATAACATCAAAATAATCATTCAACTGATCAAGTTTGCTATCATCATCGTATAGAGTCATTTTCAAGTACCAAACATCATCCATCTGTTTTATATTATCTATACGGAATACAGTACCGGGAGCAATTAAAAGGTCTTTGGCGTCTCCATAAGATCCGTATTCACTGAGAAATGCGGCAAAACCTTGTCGATTGTGTTTGAGTGTAATATCAATTTCAAATACGACTGTTTCTGATTTCAACGTTTCCTCCTGCGCTCTACTACTTATGAGCGCCATGTGACGATCAAAAACAGTCCACAGAAATGTATTATTCGACACAAGACAGCCAATTCTTTGTTTGAAGAGCGATAATTCATTAGACGCCAAATTTTCTCCTCGATATACTGTTACAATTAGTTCCCCAACACATGCAAAATCTGTCGTGTTAATCTTATCCATGAGATTATTCATGAAAAAGCTCAATAACAACGTTAATTCGATGTCGCCTGATTGTAAAGCTCTGTTTAGGAGACGAAACAGAAAACAATCATGTGTTTCCCAAATAGCTTTTTCAGTATTTTCTTCGAACTCGTTTATTGTACCAAGCACAAATTCATCATCTTTATACTTCAGTTGATAATATTTGACTACTTTTCTCTCGTTGACTGAAGTTGGCATTAGTTGCATCGTGGCGTATAATAGCTGAGAACATTTATATCTTGTTTGGTTTAAATCGAAACTTCGTGTCGTTGTACCGCGTTCACTAGGATCGAATGTTTTCTGGAGTATTTCTTGACATTCTGAAGTAGATTCGATGAATCGTGACTGAGCTACGAATTTTCTAATTTTTGCTGGCAAAAGGCAAAAATGGGTTATTCCACTTAGTAAAGGTTTTCACTCGGTCCTTGCAGTTTGTTCTGAAAACTAGCATTGCCACGAGATTCAGCATAGACGATAACCTATGTTTACATTTATTTCTGACAGTCCCGAACCTAACAGCAGAGGAGTCCTAAGGTTTCTGAAAAAACGTCTATTGCTCCCGAACCATGGATTTTCGAGATGCTGCTTGGATCCAGTTTCGTAGGGGACCTATTTCAATGTTCGTTTTTAGAGATCCGAACTGGTTTTCCGAGGATCTGCTGAAAAATCGGCTTCAGAAATCCGTTTACCTACCGTTTCTCCTTGTGCACGACTAGTCTCAGATGTCTGCTTTTGATTGTTGACCACCGCAAAGTACCCATAGGATGATACTTTCAGTCTCTACTGAAAATTATGTAAATTAGAAATTCTCCGCCGTATTCCACTGGGAGAGAATCGGTACAGCAAGAGAATTTTGGACAAATGTCGATTCTACTATGTTAACAGTCCGAAAGAATTATAAATGAGTTTGAACAGAGTTATAGTTCACA